GGCACGGCCGGTGTATAGAGCATCACCAGTGCTGTTATCCGCATAGCAATGAATGTTACCAGTTAGCAACATATCATTGATATGCAGAAGAAATAGCGTTGGTGATAGCACACAGCCTTGTGGAACGTTAATAGGCTTGTAGTCAGAACATGCACCGTCTACAACGACCTTGATGCTCCAATCTACAAGGAAGCTGGTGATCCAATTGCACAATTTCTCGGGAAGCCCATAGGAAGGGAGCTTCGAAAGAAGCGCTTTGTGCCAAACCCGATCGAAGGCCTTCGCAATGTCCAGACTAACGGCCAACGCCTCCCCCTTGGACTCTACTGCCTCCGCCCATCTATGAGTTCAGTAGACCAGAAGATCACCAGCTGATCGACCCCGACGAAAACCGTACTGGCGGTCACTAATCAGCTGGTGATCCTCAAGGTACCGAATGAGCTGGCAGTTAATAATGGATTCTATTATTTTGGAGAACAAGGAGGTGATCGCGATAGGCCTATAGTTGGACGAGTCTGAGAGGTCGCCTTTTTTAGGGATCGGGTGGACAAAAGCTGTCTTCCATGATTTCAGGACTACGCCTAGGGAGTAGGAGTGCCGGAAAAGACGCGTTAGAACCGGTGCCAACTCCGGAGCACACGTGGTCAGCACAATTGGGGGGATTTCGTCAGGCCCACTCGACTTCTGGATGTCCAGGGAGAGAAGTGCTTAGTGAACCGAGCGCTGTGAGAACCGCACATCCGGCATGGAGCACTCACACCGCGGGATGGTCGGCGGTGTGTTCCCCCCGTCATCATCAGTCGAGTTGGACGCAAAAAGGGAGCCTAAAAGGTCGGCTTTGTCTTTTGCGTCATGGGCCAGTGAGTCGTCCTCCCTGTGCTGAGGTGGTATCAGAAATTCCCTTGGACAGCCTTGGCGAGAGACCAGAATGCACGGGTTCCCGAAGTAAGGCGAACTAGTTTCTCGCCAAACTTTGCCTTGGCAATAACTCTTTTGAAGGACCTGGAGGCGAAGTTATACTTCTTTTTAAGTGTGCTGGTGTTTACATCTCGAGTCGCCGAAGCCGCAGCCCAGGCTTGATAACACTCCTGCTTACTGCGTAATGCAGACTTACAGGAGCGACCTAACCAAGGCTGAGATCTGCCTCCGATGGGTACCACAGGTGATGGAATAAATAGTTCCATTCCCTGTAGCACCACATCAGTGACAGAGTCAGCAACAGCGCTGAGATCATCCGGCGAGAAGCAAACCCGCCCCCATGGGTAGGATGCAAAGAAAGACCGCATTCCGTCCCAATCCGCCGACCTGTAATGCCAAACACGGCGGCAACCTGCAGAACGCAACCGCGAAGGGAGCGTGAGTGGCACCATACTACATACCGGATCAGACAACGGTCCGAAGAGCAGAGAGGGGCATCGACGGAAACCTGGTATCTGTCCGGATGAGAGGTCAGCAGAACGTCCAACAGGGAAGGTGTATGATTCTCTACATCTGGAATCCGCGTAGGCGAAGTAACCAGTTGTGTCAGACCATATGCCAAGGCAAAGTCATAAACAGATCTCCCCGCATGATCGCTTAAACGTGAACCGAGCCATTCGGCATGGTGGGCGTTAAAATCGCCAAGGATCACGATCTCTGCGGATGGGACCTGTTGTAGCAAGGAATCTGTAGCCATTTGGACGTGGTCGATGAGTCAGTCTGTTTCGGCATTACCGCTATAGGACCTATAGAGGCACCCGTAGATGCGCGGATGTTCGTCGCTGTCTACGCGTAGCCAAAGGATGGACAGGTCCGAACCTTCAAGACTGCCGAAGCGTCGAGAACAGATGTCCTCTCTGACATACACGCAAACTCCAGCCCGAGGCACAAAGGAGTGCTCCAATTTGTACCCTAGGCAGGAGAGATACGAAATATCAGCCGGAGAGGAAACCTGCGTCTCGGTCAGAAAGAAGCAAGGTCAGCTTCGCCGTCTCGATATGGTAGTGGACGGCGTTTAGGTTAGAGTGAAGTCCCCTGATGTTGCAGAAATTCATGGATAACGTGGCAGGGCTCGCCTTGGTATTGTTGCTCAGTTTGCCCCGGGCAGTTATGTTTTTGAGCGGAATTTTGCCCCCCCCCCCCCCCCCCCCCCCGAATACTCGGGGCAGCCTGAGCACCCACGGAGGGATTTCCAGGGGTACTGGTACCCTCCTGGGGTGGTCTATCGTGTAATTCCGCTACCATGTTGATGGGGGGGGGGGGGCTAATTGGGCATCGTTTTTTAAACCAATAATTGTTATTGGTGTTTGTTGAAAATTATAATGTTTTATATTTAAAATTACCTTTTCATTGCTTTATATAATATAATAAGCCAGAAAATAGTATATTTTATATTTTAATATTTCAGTACATGTATGTTTAACTGTTAAACTTTTTTTAAATACGTTAAAATATAAAACTAAAAATCAGAAAAGTTTGGACAATAATATGTTATGTAATGTCGAATATAGTATTTTAGAACACAAGCAGGCAGTCCGATTAATTTGTGGCTGTGAGGTTAGGACCGCTATAATTCAAAGTGAATTTATTTCGCCGTGTTTTACGCCACACGGTGATTAGTATTTAGTGTTACATTTACTAGTAAATTGAAAATAAAAATACTTAAAATAAACTTTGTTTAGCATTTTATGCGAAAAGAACCGTTTAATTAAATTTTTGTTGTTAAATTACAACAGGTACTACTTAGGTAGGTAACTACTTTTCTTCAATGTTTTTCTTCTGTATAAATGACATTTTAAAAGTCGTGAGTTTGTCCGCCATTCAATTACTGTCGAGGACCACTTCTTGGACAAGCAATTATGCTTATTTGGAGTGGTTAACGGAATTATTAGTAATGTTAAGAGCATTACTAGTTTAAAAAAATATATTTAAAAAAAATTGACGTTTGGGTTGTAAGATCGTATAATCTACCTTTTCCCCAAAAACCATCCTTACCTATATTAGCTAATAGACAGACAAATTTCTAGCGACTTATTTTTGACTAAAATCTTTTATAAACATTTAACTGGTGATTTGTCAACTTTCGATTTGGATTTAATATGTCAATGATATGATGTCTAGTACGGCCAGTATGGCGATCATTAATGTGCCTAAAAACAGTCGGAAAATTTTGACGGAAAACCTATATTCACAAGTGGACTGTACATGGTAGATTATACTATTATGATACCATATATTTCAAGAAGAATTTCATCGCCTTGTTGAAAATAAAATGATTATTTTATAGATTTTTGCTTATTCTGCAACTTATTAAGAGATTATGCCGGGAGAAACAGAAATCCCTGAACTAATCTTCCTAACGAATTCTATTGCCCCGTAATTAATCAAAGGGGCTTTATTTGACGTGCGAAGGTTAAGGCCTTGAAGATTTGTTACAATTTTTGTAAGATTTGCGTCACTACAAATAGGTTTCTAATAATTAAAAAATAAATGAATCACTTAAAGTACTAGCAGCGTTAAGCAAAATATTTTCTCTGTCTGCCCTCCGGTAAAACCTTAGGTGCACTAATAATATAGGTGAGGTTGACATTTGGAGAAAGAGTCCGGATCAATGCATCAGGTTACCTGATTAGCTTTCCGTTTTACGTGTTCCGGCATCTGAATGTAAATGAATTTCAATGAAAACCAAAATGTTCTTCATGGCGCACATGTTACCATTATTTCCAGAAGGAAACTATTCATCGTGTACGTTTCGGAAAAAGTAGAATAGCGTCTTCAAAAACTAACCAGACCGCTCGCGTATACGGACAAAATGTGCGTGACGCGGCTTAAGAGCGGAAGTATCCATTCAGAATATGCCAGTTACCGTGCCTAGCAAGTAATGGACGTACACACAGCAAAAAAGACATGAAAGAATAATAATATTACAACACATCAAAATGTGAATGAGTGGATGTGGATGTGAAGAAGGCGAAAAAGTTGATTTGGGGAAACGTGGCCGACATTTCCTAGCCCTAAAACCTTAATCCCTCAGAAATGAGAGGATGTGTGTGTGCAGGAGTGAGAAATTACTGGGTGGCGATTAGGTTATCACATTAAATAACACAGCGGTATATACAAGCTCATACATGTCGATTAAAATAATAAAATAAACAATTCTACCAAAAATAAATAAATGCATCTTTTAAACAAAATAAATAGCGTAAAAATTGACACGAAATAAATCACCTTGATAATATTAGTTTACTGAGAAGTGACATGTACTCGTAAAAGCGTCAACGGTGCGGCAGGTACGCAGTGGTCACGCGGCTTCGACATAGGGAATTATTTACCTACACTTTCTCGTTCATAAGTAATTAGGCAAAATACGAAAAAAGGGCTTGTGCCACTAGAATGTTAAGTATTATATATATATATATATATATATATATATATATATATATATAGTTGTGTATGTCCAAAAAACATCATATAGGATAAGTCTTTTCATTTAATGTGATAACTTTATGGCCACCCCGTAGAGGATGCATTTTCAATTTTTTATTTTATACGTATACCACTATGCTCTCTGGTTGCAGCTTTTTTTTATAAATCGTATTTACCTCAACTGCCTCGCTTGCCAAGATAATTAGATTGCATTTTTATTTGAAGTTTTTTTTATAGGATGGAGTGACAAACGAGCACACAGTCCACCTGATGGTAAGTGGTTGCTGTGGCCCATAGACATCTACATCTATCCTCGTTTGCGAATCAAAATGCAGATGCAGCGTTGTCACCCGTGAGGACTAAGACGCAATGCCTCTTTTCCAGTAAAAAGGGTCTATACGAAACACAGCAGTGTTAAACTGCTATTTTACGGTGGTATTCTACAAAGTTCCCACTCCCATAGTCGCCTCTTAAGACTTCTATGCCAGGAGGAAAAATTTTCGTACGCTACCAGCACACGACTAATTTTACTGCTATATAATGTAATGAAAATAAATTTTTGTTAAAATATTTTTAATAAATACATTTTTGTATTATTACAACACGTTGTTAAATTGTAATGCAATAACTGTATATGTGGTGAATAGAATAATGGAGGCAGGCGGTAAGCTCATGTCAACCGTGATTGACCCGAATGCTTGAATTTGTAATTGACGATTGAAAACCAGTCTCAGTAGGTCTTTCGTAGCCCGGTAAACTTCATAATCTGAAAATAAATATAAATATATTACTTCATGCAATTATTAAACATAACAGAACGTAATCATTTAAATTAGCAGCATGTGCTGAGGGTATATGGCCACATATTTTGGCTTAGCTTTCCATTGACGTCTGTCGAGTTGGGTGTTGATATGCATTTTTACAGAAAAGTTACACTATTATAAGCACACACACAAAGTTTCAACACGCGGAAACGCGTAATTTTTGAGAAAAGAATTATTGAAAATCAATTATATTATCGGCTACCCCGTCAGGGATTGTGCGTAAGTAAGTAAGTAAATTATTCTTGCAATGTTTATGTCTTATCCTACCGTAAAACTGGCGCCATTTTGTAATGTTAATGTCGACGTCAATAGGGATGTAGATTCTTTCCGAAAAAGGTCGATTTTTAAATTGATTCAAATCGTAAGCTGCTGATCGGTTCACAAAAAATCGATTTCTAAAATATCTATATTTTTTTTTATGTTTCTATTTATAATGTAAACTAGCCGGAGCGGCTAAGGCTGGTCGCCGAAGGCGACCAACAAGCCGAAGCTGCGGAGGCGAGGAGGGATGCCTGCGATTTGTTACGCTAAGGCATAGAGGCTGCTTTTCCCGCAGCGCCGGAGACGTAGCAGTCTCAAAATAGATACAGAAATCCTTCTGAATCCGTCCCCTTATTTTTTTATGACGAAGGGAATTTTTTTCTCATAAAATGGATTTATATTTACATTATAAATGCAAACATGATAAAAATATAGATATTTTAGAAATCGATTTTTTGGGAATCGATACATCAGCTTACAATTCGAATCTATTTAAAAACTCGATCTTTTTCGGAAAGAATCGACATCCCTACTGACAATAATAATAAAAAAGGCGTCAGTTTCATAGTAGGTAGGAATTGACATAAATATTGCAAAAATATTTGATTTTAAATACTTTTCTCTCAAAAAGTACATGTTTCCGCATATTGAAACTTTGTGTGTGTGCTTATAAAAATGTAATCTTTCTGCAAAAATATGAATCAACACCAAACTCGACGGACGTCAATGGAAAGTCGTTCGCATATTTTCAAACGTTAGTTATTATACGTTTTTTTTTTATAGGAGAGGGGGCAAACGAGCATGCGGCTCACCTGATGGTAAGTGACTACCGCCACCCATGAACAACCGCAACACCAGGGGAGCCAGGGGAATGGCATATAAAAACACTAGATTTTGTTCTTGTATTTAATTCGTGTTCGTGTTTTGTTAAATTAAACAAAATAAAACATTAACTGTTTACTTTCACATTGCCAATATATCAGGCTTAAACGTAATTACTCTAAGGTATTAGAGTAAGCACAAGCATAATATACACATATATAAATATACAATACAAACACTCACGCCTGTCACCCAGAGGGGTAGGCAGAGACTACGGACTTCCATTTGGCACGATTTAATATGTATTTATGAGGCTAATGTGAAATACTTAAAAGTCTATGGTCAACAGTCGCACAATGTAGATTTGTAGTAGATTGTTGCCAAAGAATTATAAAATATTGCCAACAAATAATTGACAAGGCCACCGATATTTGTTATGTTACAGTGGTAGAGCAACGCGGCAGCTTTTGCTGTCGCACGGACGGGCCAGCTCGAACCGGGGTGGTACCACGACCTCACAGAATACCAGCGTGAAGTAGAGGTTTACCTCTGCGTTTCGTTTGGTGAGTGCAGGTGGCCGGAGGCCCTTTTTACTGGAAATGAGGCATTCCATCTTAATCCTCACGGGTGACAACGCATATGCATTTTGATTTGTAATAGAGGATAGATGTAGATGTCTATGGGCCGCAGCAACCACTTACCATCAGGTGGACTGTGTGCTCGTTTGTCACCCTTATCCTATAAAAAATGTATTTATTACAAAGCTAGAGAAAATTCCAAGAAAAATTGTTTTCCTATCTTAAAAAATGGCTGACATAATGAACACTAAAGTTTTCTTTCCCGCGCGATGTTCTCGGTCAAAATTCAGCGAGCCGGACAAAGCGCGGTGACGTCATAACTCGTGTCTCGCCACGCACTGTAAGGAAACTTACTATTGCGCCCGCAATTTCGAGCGGGCTACTCATCTTTGTAATTATTGTTTTTGACTAAATCTATCATATAAGTATTGTATATATCCATGTGAGTTATAACTGTAAAAATATAAAAAGGAATGTCAACTGTGTCAGGTCGTTATACAAGTGCTGATGTATTAGCCCTCCAAGAAACCTCGTTGTTGCCTTGTCATCTATCAGTTTTAGGCGCAATTGATAAGGGTTCGAATATACGGCAAATTCGGTGGTGGATTTGGAGGCTGGTATTTTGCGAGGCAGGCCACACGGCGAGGTTGCTTTCCTATGGCGAAAAAGCATGTTCTGAATGTGACAGTGGTCAATTGTATTGAACGTATTGTCGCAATAAGAGTAATGATATGTGCAGATCGAGAAATACTTATTATCGGTGTATTTATGAAGACCGATCAGTTTGAGGACTTGCCATTATTTACTCAGTGTTTAAGGGAGCTAAGTGCTATAATACAATACTCTAATGTAGACGTAGTTTTTATGGTAGGGAATTATAACGCTCATCTAACCGCTCCTTTTTGTAATGAATTGATGGACTTTTGCATGGAAAATGTTTGGTGATATATGTAAATTATTCATTTCATCCAGTACATATACATTTATAAGTGAATCCCATGGGTGTAAATGATGGCTAGACCACTTTCTTGTCACTAAAACAGCTTAGCAGTCACTGGTAAGCATTAGAGTTCTTGATGATGTTTATTGGTCTGATCATTTTACAATAGTGAGAACCTGTAATTTAAGAGTAATAAAAAGGAAACCTGCCTTTAATAGGAATGCACATAGTAATATTTTTTGGGGTGTGTGAATGCCTGAAATAATAGAAAAGTTTACTAATATTTGTAATGATAGTTTTAAGAATCTTCACTTTCCTAATAAATTGCATAATTGCTCTGATCTGACAGATTATGTGTAATAATTTGTTCCATAGAAATTTTAATGATAATATGTACAATAATATTGGATTTTTCCGTCACGACCCCTTCTGAAGTAGTGTAGACGGCCTTGGTGGCCATAAGGAATCGAGATGGAATAATATCCTTCTCCCTCGCACTTTTTGTTATCATGCCATATCAAGAAATATTATTTTATTTTAAATGACGCTTCATTTTAATAGACGCTAGTAATTCATTTATTCGTATTTATTAATCAATATTATAATGCGTTTATCAATAATAATATACTACGAAAGGAACTTTGTTCTAACCGAGTGTTCCACGACACTCACGCATGTTCTTTATAAATATTTTATTGAATACATCCGCCCGAAGTCGAAGTGTATTAGAAAGAAAAACTGAAACAAGTATGTATAACAGGCCCATAGACAAGCTAGACTTGATTATCAATTAAGTTTTCAACTTCATGATCACTTATGCTTTCACAATCACTTTTGATCACTTTTCTCAAAGTTACTATTTTCTTCATCATTACTCTCTTCCATACTTTTATTAAATAGTGAGTAGAAAATAAAAAAGTTTTGCTAATAGGCGTCGGCACGTACGCTCAGTAACAACGCCCGCTCGCGACTGTTATAAAATATTGTATTTTACAATACAATATTTTCGAACAATTTTTAATATGTTTACCTACGCTACTTAGTTTTAAACGTGGTAGAGCCATGATGCAGTTATATTAATTATTGAAACAGAACAGAAACTTTTTTTATTCAATATAGATTATAAATAATACTTATTGAAAATCACTCTTTTGTTTGATTACCACTGGGTCAGAAAAAACCTCTGTCCTGGGAAGAACCAGCAAGAAACCCAGCGGGACTTTTTTTTAAATAACAGCTTACAATCACGATGTTACACAAATTAACAACACAACAAATTAGAAATAGCTTGATAGCGATCACCTCATTTCCAGGGGTTATTATCATCTATAAATTCCTTAATATTATAATAACCCCTTTTATACAAACTTAGTTTAATAAAGTTTTTGAACTTTGAGCAGGTCAATTTTGTATATTTTCTGGAATTTTGTTGTAAAAGCGTATACATCGCCCCAAGAATGAATTACTGACTCGATGGAGTCGACTAACTGGTACTACTAGATTCTATAGTATTGTATAGTAGTATCATGAACTGGTCGGCTTGACCGGGGAAGGACCACGCTCTCGCAGAATACCAAAATAGCAGCTTAATGCTGCTGCGTGTAGAGAACCGGAGACCCCTTTTACTGGCAAAAAGGCATTCCATCTTAGTCCTCACGGGTGACAACGCATCTGCATCTTGAGTCTTTATTGAGGATAGATGTAGATGTCTATGGGTCACAGTAACCACTTACCATCAGGTGGACTGTGTGCTCGTTTGTCACCCGATCCTATAAAAAAAAAGGTGGACTGTGTGCTCGCTTGTCAGCCATTATAAAAAGACTTTATAAAAAAAGTAAATTTTGGTAAGTGGTCATTAAAGTGGCGGTTTAAAAAGGCAAGTCGAATCGTCATCTGACGTCACAATTGATGAGTTTTAGTCCTCAATATCTCGATAATTTATAAATAAAAATTATTGAATTATCTACATTTCGAAAATACTAATCAAATGTTGGTCACATATGATATTGTATAATATAAAAAAGTAAATTTAAAGCCTAAATAATAATATGTCTTAACGCATAGGCCTATTCTCATTTCTGAGAGAGTTATTAAGAAATTAAAAAAAAAATAGCTGATAATTAATTACGTAATACATACCTTGAAGTGAATATGTCAATAGCATTGCCAGGCTTCGTTTTAAATCCGTCACATCATTCTGCAGTCTCTGTGCTGCTATTGACAGGAAAAATATTTCAATGTTGTAATATATAAGTTTAGTACCGATTTTCATAAATATGTCTGTTTTAATATAGCCCTGCAAATTATCAAAAACATGAACGGAACTTAATTTCAAATATTAAATTTTAATATATTGGTATACGGCCAATTTAGTTCAAAAGAAAACGAGTATCACTGCTACTCGTATAGGGTAACTCAAAAACAAATTATTTTATCCAACTGTTTAGTTATCCTTAATAATAACATGTTACAGTCAAAACTGTTTCTCGGTGAAAACCGCTTTTGATCAACAGAAGCAGTCGAAGTGTTTGTGACTGCAGGCTTAGGTCATATGTACTTTTGCCTATGTTTGAAAGTACTTTGTTTCCGGCGCATCCCGATATCAGGACCGACTAGATTTGACTACGCTTAACTACACTCATGGACAAATTTAGCGGAACGAAGAAAAAAGGTTTAATTTTTCCTGTTGTAATTATTACTGGCCACACATTAGTAAATGCTAAAAGTTTAGGAACTTTTTTTTCTAATTTCATCTATTTTTATGTAATAATTGCGTAATATTATGTTTTTTCACACTGCGAAAATTTTGCCAACCATTGAATTTCAGTAAAAATTTAAGTTTTGTTTAAATTTTTGCCTTTACTGCCTTGTTTACCGAGTAAGGTATGAATTGTTATTGAGAATGCCAAGTCTAAACGCCACTCAAGTTACTAGGGCTGTTACACCTATAAATATGGGGCCCAAACATTAGGAGTATCAAAATCTGTGGAACACTGAGTTATCATGAGGTATCGGCAGACTAGGCAGTATACGAGACTCGCAGGGCAGGGATGTAAACGGAAAAATGTGACCAGAGATGACCTGTTCATTTCTACCCGCGTGCTTAGCCGGGCCTTTACTTTTCCTTAGGTAAGAACAAAGTTCCAAGAACATACCATCGATTGATAGCTCGGTCAATAGCTCGGGTTAATTTTGCTCCCAATCATAAAAATTGGAATGACGAAGTTTGGAGTGAAGTTCTATTAACAGATGAGTTCAGATTTTACCTGGAGCCAGATGATGGAAGGATTAAAACTTGGAGACGCCCGGGAGAGAGGTATGCTTAGTGCAACATAACTGAAAAAGAGACGTATGTTGGAAGGCTACGAAGGCTTGCGATGATCCTGAATATTTTGAAATTCTAGTATGTCAACATGTTCAGAATCATGCCAACCATATATCAGATTTATAGACTACAAAATCTCGAAAAAAAAACACCGATTCCTACAAATGATGTTTCACGACGATGTAGAAATTAAAAAAAACATCCTAATTTCAATAGAGAAGATGGCTGGGTGCTACACTCTGCTTGGGATCCCATAATTAATAAAATTAAACCCAATACAAGCATACTATTCAAAATGCTGAACTTTTTGAATAGTTCAACGTCCATCAGATCATTAATGTAGTTGTGTATATACAAAAAAGAAAAAATGAACCTCAAAACGTATCTAATGGTTAAAAAAATTAGAAAGAAGAAACAATAAAAAGAATATGAACGTCAAAGCATTATTTTTATGATTCCAATGTTACTAAGCAAGACTTTTCCTGTTATGAAATTAAAAACTTAACACCAACGCCTACGCTACTAGTTTATTTTCACCAACGTAACAACAAAATGATGAGCTTGATAATGTTCCACATTTAAATTTAAACTTTATGATTACACGTTTCAGTAGTCCAGCTAGTGTATTAAAAATAAAAAGTAAAAATAAAAAAGATAAGAACAGAAATCGAACGAAATAATAAAATATGTGACTAGTTAAATAAAGAAAGTGTGTTATTCAAGCAGAAGTATAAAATCTTTTATTTGAACAAGAAGAATGATTAAAAAGCAATGAGGAAGCTAGTAAATATGTCAGATACATGATAATAAAATGCTTTTAAGTAACAGGAGGTTATACGGCTATGGAACTTCATCGCAATATATGTTATCTAAACTAAAAAAACACGGATAATTTACGAAAATAATTGTTACCGGTAACAGGTGGGAATCCTTATTTCCAAAACATTCAAGTATTCTAAAAATATATATCTAATCAAACTAAGTTCTAGTTTCGTAAAAACGGCATTGAACAAATTAGAAAACGGTTTCTAAAAAAGGATTGTAGGGAAAAACAATTAAATCATCAGGATTGTCACGCATTTTATAATGACAAATTCCTATGGATGAGGAAAAATCGAAACACATCTAGTATATGTGTGAATAAGATACATATTCTGAGCTCGAAAATTAAAAGACATCGATAAAAAATTATCAATATTATTTGTAGCAGCTGTACTTTCGATTTCCTAGACATATAACAATAATATTGTTATTTTTAGGATGAACAGACTACAAAAGAGAGTCAAAGTAATAGTCAGTTTTTCTTCTGCTTTATTGAATTGAAAGTTTAGCTTTTTTTGTATAATACTATTGACTTATCCATATTTTGTTTAAAATAATGAACACTAATCTTCTAAACATAAAAATTATTTAGAAATGTTGTATACATACTTTTTTGTTTTTAACCAACAAGAAATGTATGGTAAACCACTGAAGGTAACAAGTACAAGTAGTCTGGCAGTACTTAGTATACTGGTGCAAGTGTTAAAAGTACGTAAAAATTTATTTTTTGTAAATTATTAGCACTAAATAGGTAATGCAAATGCATGTAAAATATGATTTTGCCTTTCTGATTTTTTTTTCCAAAAAAAAAAAATAAGTACGTAATTAACTGTTACAAGTGGCTACTTGTAACAGTTTACGTGTCTTACTATTTTAAAGAAAACAAGGTATATAAATGTGAATGACACTATAATCAAAATGATTTTAAAATATTAAAAATTAAAGATGCCATCTTTTTTCCCTAATATTCAGGTATAACATTTCAAATTATAATCATTTTCATCTAATTATATAAAAATTACAAGTTATTTAATATAATAATATATCCACGTAACAATTAAAATCAAAGATTTGTGTATATTTATGCCATCATCGTAGCTTCGAAATTTTAATAAACAGGAACTTCTTACATCGATAATCCTTATCTTAAGCGGCAGTATAATATAGCTCCTTATATCGAATCGAAATTCCGTTACCTTAGCGAATTTTGTTGAAAGTCATATACACATATTAATATAAAATTATAATACTTACATCGACACTCATAAATACCATTGAGTATATATATATGCTAATATAAGAAATCGCTGTCGTCAACATAACTGTAATCTGAAAAATAGAAGATGAAGAAAAGAAAATAAAATGTTATATTATGCTGTTAAAATATTAATTCATGCTGATAAAGTAAGCTAAACTAATAAGAATCGTACTTGAAATCCAAAAATTCTATTAAAAATTCTCGTAGCCTCTGCGAGGCGTGTATAAAGAACTGACCACTGTTGTATTTTTTCATATCGTTCCCTGGGTGACACAACTCGTGTTATATCTGCTGATTTTATTTCTTCTGAAATTTTATATACTACTTTTGTCTCATTAACCACTAATCTAATAACACATTTTACTTGTTCTGATAGAATATATAGTATTGAGTATAGTACCAAATATTCGAAAAAATAACGAAGGTCACTAGTTATAACATTTACTACAAATATATACACAAAATATCTGCTAACACCATATTTAAGGAGTTCGCCATATTTTGTAGTAACCAATGTGAAAATTATTTTTGTAATGCTGTACAATAGAAACGCTGCGATTATCAAATTACTCTTTTTCTTAAAATGCTTTAAAAATAAATCGTCATTAAAAAAGATAGTACTGTTTTTATTGACGATTGTTAATAATTTTTTAAAGGACTTTGAATGATACAAAGCCACTATTATTAAGAATAATGAAGTCGCGTAACATAAATATAGGAACAATATTTCTGTAATGCGAAAAATTGAATGAAAGTATCCGCAAACAATAATGTTAGAAACGCATATAGAAATTTCTAATAATAATGAAAAATACATCAAATATACTAATTTTTTGTTAGAAAATGACATATTGCGGAATAAAAAAAGAAAGTTTTCAATCAGAAATATAACTTTTAAAGGTTTTAAGGTAGACATGATGTCCGTGCGCTCCTGTTTGGAGGAAATACAATTACGTAGTAAATTGAATTCAAATGAAACAGTGTTGTTGATTCATGTAATAAAAGAAAAGTTAAACATAATTTATAATCGTAAAACAAACTTTCCATTAATGTAATACATTAATAATTGACGTTTCTATGACTACGGCCAAGTGTACACATAATACCTATATTCTATTCTAAATTCTTGAAATAAAAACAGCTGTAAGTTATTAAGACTCCAGCTTGTACCGATACAATTTTTTTATTTGTTCTTTAAATTTATGATGATCTCAAATTACTTTAGTGAAGCAAAGGAGACATTAATGAAATTATCAATGAAATTAATGTTTCATTTTTTGTACCTGCTCATAAGTTTTTATAGTTAAGACTGCATACACACTATACTCATATGTACCCAGTAGTATTGACAATATATCCATCATTGAATTATATGTACTGTGCGTAGTACATAATATATATCGATGATATCCATCTAGTTTCTTTCCTTTAGATAAATAGATTTGTTTTCATAGTAGTTACAGTTCTCTTTTTTTTTATGAAACTGAAGTGACTAACAAAATTACAATCTATCTGATGGTATCTATTGCAGTGCGTGGACACGTGTAGTCAACTTATAACAAAAACGGTTACAGATACGTTGTGAGTCTCAGTTTAGGACTGAAGGATATAGAGCTCCACCATAATTACGGTCTTCGAAGCAATTCATCTTGGTTCTCAAAAGTGAAAACGCTCCTGTAGCCTACCCCTAATTTGAATTATAAGTGGTGAAGCTATTCTGTAGCAATATGGTTTTAGTTTGAATAACTCTGCACGGTCAGGGAAAAACCGCGTTCTTATAAAATACAAGAGTATGCTCCTGTGTTTCGTATGATGAGTGTTGAGAACTGGAGATTCTTTTTAACGGAACCAAGGAATTTCATTATAGTTCTCAAAGTTGATAACGCAACTGAATTTTCGTTCTTATATATGTATGATTATATATGATATAGGAAGATGTATGTGACGTGTTGTATTCATTTGAGGTGGGTAACATTAAAAATGTTATGTGAGTGACGTAAGGACCTTAAATCAGAAATTTTATCTCTTTTTAACTCCTTCCAAACTAAGTGCAATAAAAATAAATCATCCCAAAACGAAATAAAAGTACACATACTGGCTATGACCTGGTAAAGCGTTTTGACTCCTTAATTAAACATCAGTGTGAGTTTCAGTGCTCAATACTAGTTTCTTCAGAGTTGGTGTGACAATATTACATATCTATGGCAGTGTGATATAAAGGATATGGAGCAGAGCAGATAAAAAAAAATAAACACTTCAATAATTTCTTATGTGTACGCAAATACTACACGTAGAATAAGACTAATTTTAAGGATTTTATCGCGTTTTTAATTCCCGATGTTTAGGGCACTCCAGAATCTGTGGTTACTGGTGGACAGATGTGCTTGAAGCCCTGATGTCATAATAAACGAAGTTTACTTTCAAGTTTTGTGTACTAATTTTTGGTCCGATCTACGTAGAACGAGCTTAGCTTACAGTATTTTGGAGTCTTGCATACGCTAGGGTATTAGTGGTATTAGTATAGTATTCTGATTATTACGCGGATCGATGTCGATGTTTAAGACCACAGTATCCATTTATCATCAGGTGGACTGAATGCTTGTTTGTCAACCTTATTCTATAAAAAATTAAAGCCTGGGTTTGGATTTAATTTTATTAATTATGGGATTCCCAGCCATCATCGCTACTGAAATTAGGATTTTTTTAAATTTAAATAGCCTCGTGAATCATCCTTGGTAGGAATCGGTGTTCTTTTGCGAGAAACTGTGGTCTATCAAATTTTATAAAATAGTTGAGACGATCCTGAACATGTTAACATACTGCAGACTTCCTGGAGCGTCAGAGCTTTATATCAGCGATACGATATTTTACGGGGGTTAATACGGATCTTTTTGTTTGCCTATGTATAAGAGACCATATTCACAATAAAGCTAGTATACTCCTGCATTTTGTAGAGGGACAAAACAAAAGATATTACACTTGACGGATGGTAAGAAGTTATTTTTCTTCTACGGTTGCTTGTAGTATGTTGCCGCTCAAAGTAGAACTTCATTTCCTTGAGGAGATTAGTGGACTCATGACACATTTTGTGACTAGAGCCGTGCTTACTATGTAATATGTGATGTCTTATACTTACATCACTTCTGCAGTTACGGCGGTAGACCTTATAAATATAGCTTTTATTCCTCAATTACTATACGTAATTAAATAGGTTCAAAATCAATTTAATATTTTTTAAGTATTGTATTTTAATTGCTATAGAAACATTATTATATTAAAAGTACATTCAATAGCACTTCATTGTATTTTATTCATTATTTTAATTTTTGTAAAAGACAGTGTTTCTTAACTGGCCTCATTGTTTCCGTTGCCCTATCCCGAATTTCCCTACCTTCAGCTTAACGTTCTCTCTTGTGCCTAGTTTTGCGTTGTAAATGTAAAATTATATTTTAAATATAATAAATTATGCCTAATATTTGAGAGTCCTTTTCGGGAAAAGGCCTCCTCCAAATTTTTCCTTACCTGTCTATCCTGTGCCTTGAACATCTAGCTTTACCCCGTCGTTGACGTCTGTCTTTTGCGGCTGTTCCGGCTGGTCCTTACTACTCGGTCACAATTTGGCCATCTTTGGTCTGAAATGCGTGCCAAATGTCCAAACGTCGACCTTAGGTTTTGATATGAATTTCAACTTGATGACTCTAACCGTTCCTAAGAAAAACAACCTGACAAAAGGACAGAAGAACGATTTTCCTTTTAAGATACGGAACCCTTAAAACACGTGTTCCAAATATTTTGAAAAATCTCTTAGTAAGTTGGTATAAAAATAATTTATTGCAATTTAATATCATTATCGCAGTTTCATTAGGTTTTTTTTTTTGTATTTTTGTTGTTAATATTATTTTTATTAAATATTTAACAAGTAAATAACTAATGATATGCACACTGTTAGTATAATTTCCCTCCTGAGACCCCCAAAGAGACTATATTGAATGTACTGTCGCAATAATTGTTGTAATATAGACATTACTCTTACCTATTTACAAGATATTTTTATGGGGAGCGGGGGCACCATCACTAGCGCAATTGTATCTTTTCCACGCTCACCTACCCATCTGCACAAAGTATTGAGTATGACTTAATTTGCGATTTATGCAGTTCATTTCGCGCATTCCTGAAAAGGCCTGTATTTCTTCAATGATAAATAAAGGCTGCAGGTTATATATTACTATTGTAGTTATACAGAAGAAAAATAGACTCGGTAGAACTACCTGTACTGTCATGTATTCTGTGGAAGAACTATAATTTTTATTTGCTTATGTTGTTTAGTGTCTCAGGACCGTGCTTTGTGGCATTCTTTGGGGGAGGCCTATGTTCAGCAGTGGACTTGTGAAGGGCTGTAATGATGATGAATGATAATGATGATGTTGTTTGTTATCATATAAAACTTTTAAGTAATGGTTGAAAAATCAGCCCTAAGTCCTTCAAATATTTTTTTAAAAGATAGCAAGCTAAAATACCCTCTATATCCGTTACTGCATCACAGGCTCTACTCTAGTGCTCCGCAAACAGTACTGGCAGCATGTAATCAGCAGTGTTTGAATAAGCTTTCCACCATTTTTAAATATTAAACCAAGTTTGTTTAAGCAAACTTTATATTTTACGTTATAAATTATAGTTTTTTTTTATTTTGGTTTCATCTTCTTTTCTACGTAACATGAATAATAATAATGGCTTCAATGAATACCAGCTTAAATGGTGCGTTATATCTAGTAATGCGATAGTCTCTCCGCCTGTGAAGCATGGCGATTACGACATGCTTAAAACAAAAAAAAATAAGCACTAACGGCGGTACTTTAGAGGATATTTTAGGAAATTAAAAAAAGGATTCTACTTTTTGAAATAACGAAACATTAGAAAAAAAAACAACATAGGAACCTGACAGAGGTAAATTTTATCGTAAAAACCATATACTGTAGTGATGTTCTACATGAGAAAACAGGAAAATACGTTTGTATGGATTAATGCCACCCGGATATCCTCTTCCGCCACGTTTGCTGTAACAAATATAATATGGTACCTTTGATGTTGCTCTCTGTCGCCGCTCTAACCTCTTTGTAATACGTACAAAATACTATCTCAAATACACCGTAATTTCATAGCTATAATGCTCAAGAGCAATTATTAATGATTAAACGAACTTACCTGTAAGTGAAGTTCTATCATAATTATGTGAGGTGTTTCGTTCGAAGAGATTAGATAACACAGGTAGTCTCACATACAATGTCGCCATCTACGCACTTAGTTAAAAGTAAAAATAAAACAAGACGGTAGATTAATATTACTTCATGGTTGCACTGCGCTCGATTCATCATTTAGTTCAGAGTGGAGACAACATGATATTTCACAATATGAGGGTTAAAAATAAACAGGGCGGGGGGGATGCTAATCTCTTCGAACGAAACACCTCACATAATTATGATAGAACTTCACTTACAGGTAAGTTCGTTTAATCATTAATTATGCTTCAGTGTTTCGTTCTCGAGATTAGATAACACAGGTAGATATTGAGAGTTAATTGTGAAATATCCCAACAGAAATTATTTATAGTGGAAAGAAAAATCCAATATTTCATAAATGAAATAAATTTAATTATAATCATTATGAAAAGAGTACACTGCTATGACATACGATTATCATCATTAATGATACATACATATTTAAGTGGCAATAAGTAAACTCTTAGCGAAACTATGTCTATCAGTTTCAGTTGATATTGTCCTGTTATAGAACTTCGCAAAAGTTGTGGATGCACCAGTCCATCCGGCAGTTTTCCTTATAATATCTAAATTGATACCTAGTTTATGGGCTCGAGAGGTGCTCGCGTGCCTAGTACTATGCGCACAGAATGTAGTAACGTCAACCCCGCTAACCTTTAATGTACTTTTTATCCATCTACTTAGCGTTTGAACAGAAACCTTATTGTGTGGCTTTTTTGTACTGATAAAAAGACTAGTGTGATTATTACGTAGGAGACTTTGTAACATTTAAGTAATCGGAAATCAACTTAGCAGGACATATTTCGGGTCTTTCTCTAAAGTATGGAAGAACAAGGGTTGGCTGATTAGAATTAATGCGAGATGTTTTTATAAGATCGGGGACTTTAATAGAAATTTCATTGAGTGAAATTCTTATATTTTGAATATTTATTTTTGATAGGGTTTGGGCCCTGTGCGCCGTTATTAGTGCAAGTAGCGTAACTAGCTTTTTTGATATCTTCTCTAAAGGTAGATTCTGATTCGGCACCCAACTAGCAAGAGTTTCAATTACTATTGAGGTGTCCCAAGTTGAATCATATTTGGGTAACGGGGGGCAAAGTCTAAATAAACCTTTAAAAAATCTTTTTATACGGTCATCCTCGCTGATTTGACGTCCTATAATCAGAGCAAGGGCAGATCGACAAGTATTTAGCGTACCATATTGGGCTCCAGAGTGGTAAAGACTCGTTAAGAAATAAATAATAATTGGTATTGATGTCTGATACATGTCAATGTTGTTATTCTTGCAAAAATTATACCATTTTTTCAGACATGTATCATATTGTTTGATATAATTAGCCGAAAGAGAAGCCAACATAATTGGAACAGAGGTAGAGGGAATGCTTCTTCTCAATAAAGATTCCCGCATAAGACTCCGGCAACCAGGGTAATCCGCTGATGTATCTGGCGGTTGCTGGAATGTGAAATAATTAGTTTCTTAGAAGAATTGAAAATCAATGGCTTAGACTCCAGGAGTCTATTAAACAGGGGATACCATGGCTGTGATGGCCATTTCGGTACTATCAGTATACCTCTAGCTTTATCACTAATTTTTCTTAATGTTTTAAGAATAATTGAGAAAGGTGGAAAACCATAAAAGAAAAAATGTGACCAACAAATTTAGAAAGCGTTGATAGTATAGGCATCAGGATCTTTATGCCATGATACATATTTTGCACATTTTTTATTTATGCGGCTAGCAAATATGTCAATAACTGGTACACCAAAGGTTTCAGTAATCTGTTGAAAAGCAAAATCTGATAATTCCCATTCAATGTCAGGGTGGATTTTTCTAGATTCGGCGTCAGCAATAGTGTTCTCAACAGATGGAATATATAAAGCAGAAACGAAAAGATTACGTGCTTCGCACCATTGCCATAGTTTTTTAGTAAGCCTAGTTAAATAAGGGTACTGTATTCCTCCCATACGATTTATGTACGAAATTGCTGTTGTATTATCTATACGTAAGATTATTTGACTATTGGATAATTTTTTGGCAAATACTTCAAGACCAATGAAAGCCGCCATTAATTCTAAATAATTAATGTGATGCTTTCGTTCAGCGTTACTCCAAATACCGCTTGCAGTCTTTCCCATACAGGCCACGCCCAATCCCGTTGTTGAGGCGTCAGAATTAATTTCCAGACTGAATTCATCGAATTTAATTTTGCTTACAGCTTTATCAATGGAATTTATCCACCAATTAAAATCTGAATCTAGAGTAGTTGGTATAGTCATAAATTTATCATAATTTTCGTCTCCTTTCAGATTAAGGAATTTGCACCTTTCGAACTCCTTAGTGTAAAGCCACCCGTATTCAATAGCTGGACAAGCCGATGTTAACAGACCTACTAAACGTGCAAAGTCCCTGATTCTACATCTTTTAAGTTTTTTATATTTTAATAATTTAGCTTTAATTTTTTCACGCTTTATAAGAGGTAAACTGATTTCCATTGTATTGGAATTTATGATAAATCCCAGATATTTACAGATATTACTAGGAATCATACAGCTTTTAATTTTATTAATAATGAAACCTAACCCACGAAGAAGTTTCTTCGTGACGTCAATATTTTTTACACATCCGCTATAGGTGTGGGATATAAGACATAAATCGTCTAGATATATTACTGACAGGTTACCAATACTTCGTAATAGTTTGACAACCGGTTTCATTATTTTTGTGAACACGTAGGGTGCAGTATTGATACCGAACGGGAGAACATTAAATTCATATAATATATGCCTCCATTTAATTAAATCTTAAATATTTTCTTGAATTGTCATGAATTTTTATTAAAAAATATGCGTCTTTAAGGTCTATTGTTGACATAAAACAATTTTTTGAAACAAGTTTTACCATTGTTCGAAGGTCTTCCAATTTAAAATGCTTTGTGTTTATAAATTTGTTTAATTTTTTTAAATTTAGAATAAAAAGTGTCCTACCGTTCGGTTTCGGTACTAAAAATATGTTAGATATGAATTGACCATCACATGGTTCACATTTTGAAACAGCGCCTATAGACAGTAAACTGTTTATTGCCTGATCGAAGTCTCTTGTTTCAGATGGGGAATAATTAGGTTGTGGAATATTATACTGATAAGGTGTTTGTGAGAAGGGTATTTCATACCCCTTTATCCATGACAATATAGTTTGGTCTGATGTTATTTGTGACCATTGGTTATAGAAAAGAGATAGCCTGCCGGCATAATTTACCTCATCATTTAGCGGCGGCCGCGACTGTTGCCTGGACGTGACGCTCTCGATGATGGTAGTTGCTGTTGTCTCGTTGAAGGTGCAGGCTCTTTCGCCCTCTGAGGCCCCGTCAGCCTGCGGCTCGGGGCTGGCGCCTTCCAGTTTAAATTCTTGTTGGAAGACAAATTTTTTGGTTTATTTGCGAAGACCCTTTGCGTTGTGACGGCCTTTAGTTCAGCTCCTGACTTATTTATTGCTTTAGCAGTTCTTAATGTGTCCGAGAGCTCCTGCCCAAAGAGTAAGTTATCAATCTTTGTTAACTGCATCTGATCTTTTAGTTCTCTCTTCAGTGTAGCCAGGATAAAACTACGCCTGGTGACTGAGTCCTTATGTTGTGAATCACACAAGATGCGTGCTGTATCCATTAGCAATTTTAATATTGTAGGATCTTTTGTATCCTTAGACAATAAGAGTGTAATTGCTTCACTAAGACATGCGATAGCGCTACATATTTGTTTTTGTTTAGCTTGTATAGCCTTATCTCGCTTCACTATAACCTCTGTGATAGCAGCCTTTATCTCTGGATTCAAGGACGGAGCGTCTATCATTTTACAGTTAGCTGGGGGTAGATGAGATTCTAAGAGCTCTTTACGAAGTTCCTTTGTCAATCCAGAAGTTGCTATAAATTCAAGGCGAATGGCCAAGTCCTTTTGAATGTCCTTTCTAAAGGTTACAGTTGTTAAAGGATCTGTTCCTAAAATTTCTAACACCGTCTCATCTAGCTCCTGAGACTCCTGATCCTCCTTCTCGGTAGGGGACGGTTGTTCAGTTGCTGGTTGTGGAGGTTCGAATGTCACTTCAGGTGCATTTAACGCCAACAGCGAATTCCACTGTGATGTACCAGTTGTCGGTTCTAGCTCGTCTAGGTCCGCAGTTAGCATTTCAACATTCTCCGATTCATTAATTACGTCATCTGTAACCGAAGTAATGTTGTTCCAGGTATATTTTTCGTGTAAAAAAGTTTTAAGCACATACTTTTGTAATGACAAAAATAATATTTCAAGAACATAATTTGCTTAAATAAACGCAAATCGGCAATTATTTGTAATGTACCTAAACAGGTAATAAAAATAAATATTTATGCACGTGTGTCTGAATGCACAAAAACAGCGGGTAAGATGAACTCATAGCGTTGCATCGTGAACCCGAGTTTTATAGGGATAAGTTACAATTCGAGCATTGTAACGTTAATCCTTGTTAAAATCGGATGGTAACAACTCAAATCGTTGAAAAGTATATCCGTCGTTTTAATTACCTTGAGTTTCCGTTGACTTATGTACTGAATCCGGAGGTGATGAAGATCTGCAGCGTTGGCTTTTTAACAATTTTCTTTCTAATTTTTTTATTTTCTTCTTAATATAATTTAAAGAATCCAAGTCGTCGCATTTCCTTTTCGGCATTTTTTTTTGTTAAAGTAATTTAAACACTAATTTAAAATTTTAGCACTATAATTTATACAGAAATTTACTATAATTTATACAGAAATTTAACACAGTTGCAGGATGTGCGAAGTGGCGGAGCACTGAAATGTGAATGGTGAATCGAGCGCAGTGCAACCATGAAGTAATATTAATCTACCGTCTTGTTTTATTTTTACTTTTAACTAAGTGCGTAGATGGCGACATTGTATGTGAGACTACCTGTGTTATCTAATCTCGAGAACGAAACACTGAAGCATAATAAGTTATTTACAACCTTTTTATACATTTTATATGACAGTATTTAGGAAACTTTACAATTGCACATTTTAAATGTTATACACGTATAATAAATAAAAAAACCCGTTTACGCTAGTCTATTAAAGTTCACTGCTGAACACAGGCCTCCCCATAGATTGCCTCATAGGGGGTATATTTGCAATAGTTGCCATGCTTGGCAAGCGGGTTGACAAAAGCAGTTTTTTTAGCCGTTACTAAGAAGACGCTACTGCCCATCTCCTCATTTGTTTCCCTCTATCGCCCCTTACCGTCACTCACTGAATGATATGTGGTAACTTTAATGCAAAAGTCTCAAATGAAAATAACCTTAATGTAAAAGTACGGAACTAAGTTGATTCACGTTGCATCCCGGCTCCCGGGTAATATAAGCGAAGGCCGTTCTAAACATAAAAACGAGCCACGAGAATAGAAATGGAAAATATTTTCAGGAAAAATTCAAACGAGTTTTTCGGGCACTCATCTTTTAATCTCTTAATATCAGGACTGAGATGAATGATTTCTTTTCAATATCAAAAAAAATTAATAGTAACATGTTGCATAAAGAGTGATAAAATGGACTTTTTGCTTTTTTAACATTGAGTAATTTCTCATTTGCTATTTATAATCTATATTAAAATTTTAAAGAACTAAAGTTGCTTGCAGATATGTTTGTAGAGGAAATTTCTGGAGTTGTTGATTCGATTCTTAATATTATTTCACTGATTGAAAACTTATCTATTCTGGACTGACATAACTATATATATTGTTGGCTTCTGTATCGGTACGTTTACTAATAGTTTTAGGGTTTCGTACCTCAAAAAGAAAAAGCGGAACCCTTATGGGATCACTATATTGTCCATCTGTCTGTCTGTCTGTCAAAACCCTTTTTCTTAGGAACGCGTGGAGGTATCAAGCTGAAATTTATATCAAATACTCAAGTCTACTGTCACTTGGAGCTGTGAAAAAATCAAACTTCTAAGCCAACGACATCAAAAGATACAGACGTTTATGTCGCAAATTTTCGACATTCGCAAGGGAATCAAAACGTACAGGGTACTTCCCGTGAACTCAGAATCTTGAAATTTGGTACAAAGCAACGTTTTATAGCACAGATAAAGGAAAAATTTCGAAAAGCATAAATTTTTAGTTATATATTTTCGACATTCGCAAGGGAATCAAAACGTACAGGGTACTTCCCGTGAACTTAGAATCTTGAAATTTGGTACAAAGCAACGTTTTATAGCACAGATAAAGGAAAAATTTCGAAAAGCATAAATTTTTAGTTATATCATATAATCAAAATATTTTTAATAATTTTAAATTTTATACCTACGGATTTGTTCAGAACTCTCGGTGCGCGAGTCCAACTCGCACTTGGCCGGTTTTAAAAAATATAAAGTAAAAACTTTTTAAGGGTAGCTATTAATTAAGAGTTAGTAATTAGTAAAAGCACCCATGGCATTCGGCAAACTCAGAATGAGGTTTGAGATATTGGCCATACTCAGGATGAGGTTGTCAAGGATGAGGTGTTGACTACTAACTTAGGAAGCTTACGGTACGGACGTGTCGACCATAGTTTTATAAAAGAAATAATAGTGATTTAAACAAAAGTGAAACCAAGTGCTCCTTACACAGGTGTGTGGCGAACGTCGAGTGTTACTCCTCACATTTTCGTCGTGATACTACGTGGGACGCGCCACCGATAATATCAAGTAAACATATTTTTAAAAAACAATAACACACTATGAGTGTCGTTCGATCACCACCGCAGTCGCCTAATACGTATAACGAAGGCAATAGAGATTCGATAGCAACAACAAGTGGTGTTAATAGGTTCGAAAAGACTAGTGGTTCACAACCAGATTTGCGAAAGATTTCCATGTCTGATAATACCAACCATATAACTCTTCGCGCCAAGAGAAAACAGCCGCATGATGACTTGAGTGGACAATTCGATAAATTTCAAGCTAAAATGGAATTGCTTATGAAAGATATGGCTAAAACCCAAACTGAAACTCTAAACAAAATTGCTCAAGATGTCTCAGCAATAAAGGAAGAGGTCAGTATGATCAAAATTACAATTGATCTTCTATCCTCGGAACAGGCCAAAATAAAATCGGAGTTAGCTTGCATTACAGGTTTCAGAGCTAACATTCAGAAAACAGTGGAGACTATTGAAAATGAAATAGCATCACTAAAATCTGGATCGACTTTCGCGATTACTACACCTTCGTTTAACTATGAAGATTTAATATCGGAGACCTACGAACGATCTCAGAGGGAGAAAAATGTTATTATACGAGGTATAAAAGAGATACGATCCTCAAAATATGAAGAGAGACACATCCATGATAGCGAAGAAGTAAAGAAAATAATAAAAATGGCTGTTCCAGACTGCATAGAACCGACGAAAACCATCCGTTTAGGAAAATATAATCCTGATAAATCCAGACCTATAAAGGTTATATTCTCGACATCCGAAATAGCAAAATCAATCCTACGTAAAAAATCGAACATAAAATCTGAAAATATTAAAATCTACTCTGATGAGACACCTTACCAACAAAAGTATCGGAGTAATTTAAGAGACGAACTGAAACGGCGACTAGATGGAGGTGAAAAGGATCTTACTATAAAATATGTCAAAGGTATACCTAAAATTACAAAAATCCAGCCAAAAAACTAACAATGCAAGATACAGATGATATAACTCCAAACACTACTCATGAAAAAACTGATTCATACACTAACTTAATAAAAAGCCCTAAATCTTTAAAATTTCTTTACGCTAACGCACGAAGCATAGTGAAGCCAGGAAAACTCGACGAATTAAACTGCATTATACAATATAACATATCTAGTCCTGTACATGTAATTATACTATCAGAAACCTGGATTAAGTCAGAATCTGAAGCCAAAAGTTTGAAATTACCAAACTACACCCATTATTATAATATAAGAGAAAAGGCCAGAGGAGGCGAAGTATCCATATTTGTTCAGGATTGCTTAAAACACAACTATTTAGAAGATCTTTGTAAGGAGGATAATCATTACCTATGGGTTCATTTAGATAAATACTCGTTAGACATTGGAGCCATATATAAAACTCCAAAATCAAACAATAATGACTTTGTGGAAGAATATTCACAACAGCTAATGAGAAGGCAAAGAGCTTTAGTGTTCGGTGACTTCAACTATGATCTGCTTAATCCTAACCAATCAATCAATAACTACACAAGGATACTACAAGAAAATGGACACACAATCCTAAACAAAATTGATACAAAATTTTGCACCCATGATACACCGACCAAAAAATCAATTCTTGACCATGTCTCATCCAATTTGAAAAATCATAAATTTCATATGACTATAGTAGAATCGCCAATGTCAGACCACAAACAAATATATTTAGAAGTTAGCAATTATACACCGAAAACGAAAAATAAAATAAAGTATCATACCTTAGATTACACAGCTCTATACCACACAATAGAAAGTACGGTTATGAATATATCTAATACTGACTACGAAAGCCTAGAAGATATAATAAAGGAAGCAATAAATAAACATAGAATACCAAAATTCAAAATTCAAAATGCATTCAAATCAGACTGGATTAATAAAGACATAATTAAGATGATAACCAAAAGAAATCAAGTGTGGTCTATTTACAAGAAAAATCCCAACGACGAATCAATAAGAAAAGACTTCATTGCACTACGAAATACCATGTCTGAACGAATCCAGAGTGCTAAAAATAACTATTATTTGAAAGCTTTTAAAAACTGTGAAAGAAAACCTTTTAAGATGTGGAAGTTAATCGGGAACTTAGTTGGAAACAAAACAAAGTCAAGCTCTGCTCCTACAAAACTACATACACAAATGGGTCCATTTACAGACGTTAAAGAAATATGTAACTATTTCAATACTTACTTTGCTACTATAGGATGCATTTTAGCAAATAAAATTAAAACGTATAAGGAAAAATCATATATACAGTCTAGCCCTCAAACGGCTAAGTCTAGTACATACGAACTACTCTATCTAACTCCAACTACGGAAGAGGAAGTAAGTAAAATCATAGATAACCTCAATGCAAATACTAGCACAAGCTTAGACGGGATTAGTTGCAAATCCATAAAATGCATCAAAAACTTAATATTAAACAAATTAACAAATAATATAAATTATTGTTTACAAAACGGTTTCTTCCCTGATTCTCTTAAAGTAGCAAAAATAAGTCCAATTTTTAAGTCAGGAAAAAAGACCGACCCAGAAAATTATCGCCCTATCTCAGTCCTACCAATAATCTCTAAAATTTACGAGAAAATATTATATAACCGCTTAGATAATTATCTTAAAACTATTAATTTCTTTTCAAATAATCAATATGGGTTTCGCACAAAATCAAATACACTTACTGCAACAATCGACCTGGTGACAAAGCTGAAAAATAATATTGATGAAAAACGCGCAGCACTCGGTATATTTATCGATCTGAAAAAGGCATTTGATACGATTAGTCATAGCCTGCTTCTCCAAAAACTACATGATATCGGCGTTAGGGAAACAGCCCACGATATGTTTCGGTCGTATCTCTCTAACAGACAGCAAATTGTCAGGATTGGTGACACACAAAGTACTCACGAATCTTTAACTTACGGCGTACCACAAGGCTCTATTCTTGGCCCCTTACTGTT